TAAGTGTATGTCCCAAAAGAAGTATACTTTAAGTACGTAAACTAAATAAGTGTATGTCCCAAAAGAAGTACACTTTAAGTACTTCTCATGAGGTATAATAAATAAGTGTATGTCCCTAAGTGTACTTTTATTTACCATGTACAATGATATACTAGCAGTTTTCTAACAAGTATACTTCTAGGACTAAGTTGGCCCACAACAAGTTTATTTGAAAAGTATACTGAAAGTAATCTACGTATAATTTTACTTTAATCTTGAACTATACTACAAATAAACCAGTCTGTGTGAAAAGTGTAGTTAAAGTTTATCTTGGCCAAAACGTTGAACAATAGTAAAAGTATACTTACTTTTTTTTAGTTTTAGTACAAGCCAAGTATATTTTAAAATAAACTTGGTTAAGTATAGCTTAGATAAGTACATAAAAAGTAAACTGGAAGTATGATCTTTTAAGTTTGATTAGTAAACTTAAAGGATACTTGTATATAGTAGTTTTTGCTGAGGGTTAGTAGATCTGCTGATCTCATGTCGCTCCGACCTCGTGTCAGACCCTCAGACCAGGTCAGAGCGTCCTGACGCAGCAATTTATACTCAACTTTATAAACTACGTCTTGCTTTAAGTAAACAGTTTTATCAGTTTCCTGATGCGTCTCAGTAGAAAAAAACATCTAAAAGAAAAAGTAAATGTCCTCTGGATGGTTCTTCTTTACTGAAACGTTTCGTCTCTTGCGAGACGAAACGTTTCAGTAAAGAAGAACCATCCAGAGGACATATTTATTTTGTCTTTTTGAAGTTTTATCAGTATTGTGAGGTTGTGAGTTTTATTCTCGGTGTTACACCCCACCCCCAGAGGGTCCCGACTGTGCGCACTGCTCGGTCTCCCCCCCTCAGATGGCATTAAAATGCAGTTTTCTGCTGTTTATGGCACCTTCAGGACCTCCTGCTGAGCAGTTAACAAAGCCAAAAGTTTCCCAGGGCAAATGCAAACAGGTGGTCGTCCCTTTTCCCCTCTCAGACATTTACATTTAACAACACACCCGCCTGTGAGACAACCTCAGCAGACAGATTAAACTCACTGTAGAGATTAACAGACTTAATGAAACTTGACTTGATTAGTTGGCTTGTCTTGGACATATAAAGTGTAAAAGTTTAAGGTAATAAAATGTGTTTTCTTTACACAAGGTTTCTAGAAAAACTTTGTTGGTCGATTATTTKAAATCTAAATTCTGAAACCCGAGTTGTAATTTAGTACGACTCGGGTTTGTTTCATCAAAGGTAGATGATTGCCCTCTGCTGGCTGTGTAGAGAACAGGCAACCATTCACCTGCTGTATGAACAGAGTAAACACAAAGTAAAGTTTTATTTATACAGCACCTTTCATAGAGATAGATACACAAGGTGCTGTACAATCAGAGGCAAATCTAAAGATATACAATCAGAACAGGATATACAAAAATTTGGAACAAAAAGTATAAAAGCTGTACAACCATCAAAGTATCAAGACTGTACAATCTGAAAATAAAACCAGTAAATAATATCTGGACAAACATGGGGAGGGCAGAGTAAAACATTATATTAAGATGAAGTATTTTTAAATCAGAAATAAATTTGTAGGCAGGTCTCTGAATGGGTCGATTGTGGAGTACTGGTACATTTTAGAAAAATACTTTTTTTGATGAATTGAAATGATTTTGGATGAAAATACTGTCTGTTTGACATCAATGTGCTGAATTGAAAAGAAACTAACAAAAAAACTTGTACAACATTATAAACACAATAAAACACCCTCACATAGTAATTTCACATTTCTTTAAAAGGTGACACTCTTTCCTTTTCTGTGTTGGTCAATAAACTATTTATTTTAAAGATGCAAATGATTTTGCTTTTTCAAAAGCCTGAACATTATAAATACCCTTCATGTAAATCTTGTTTTATTTCTCCCACTTAAGGGATTCTTTGTGATGATCAAGAGGACGACGCTGGGAACGACGTAAAGAGGTTAAGGATGGACGAAACCAGAGTCTGCAACAAGTGCTGCGCAGAGTACTTTGACGAAGCAGAATTTATTGAGCACGAAAGAAATTGCACTAAAAGCCAGCAGGTGGTCATCATGAAGGAGGGCGACGGTAACGACGTGCCTGAGGAGTATTCTCAAGGCTCTCCTGAAGGCCTGAACAGTGATCACGACGATAGCCAGTCCAGTCATTCCATTACAGACCAACTGGAAAGGACCGAGGAGGAGTCCAGCATGAATGCAGATGACTTGGTCCACCAGGATCCAAGAGAGATGTCTGCTAGTCCTGAGACTTACCGGCCTTCGCCCAAGATGCATGATGCAAACGTCTCTGTTGAAACCATGCCTGACACTAACGTGGCCGTCTCTCATCGTCCTGCAGATGCGTCTCATTCGTCCCCGCAGGATGTCCTCCAGGCCGTCCCCATCATCTTGGAACAGCTTGTGTGCCTTCAGCAACAGCAGCTACAGCAAATCCAGCTGACCGAACAGATTAGAATCCAGGTAGCCATGATGACCCCACAGGGTCTACAGTCATCGGTAGGGGGTGCGATGGACCCTCTGAAAGCCCTCGGTGCACATCTGTCTCAACAGCTGTCTGCAGCAGCAGCTCTGATAGGCAAACGAACTGGGAGTCAGAGCCTCTCTATGGAGACGATAAAGCAAGGTAAACTACCTCTGCCCGCTGGCATCCCTACCTCTCTGAGTGCAGGACTGGGACCGATGTCCTCTAAAGCAGACGTGCTGAAGGGTGTTCCAGATCTGAGCAGCCRTTTACCAGCACTGCTGCCCCAGTCGCCGACTGTCATGGGTTTCCCTGGCACCTTCACCAGCATCCAAGCAGGGACTGAGCCCTCTAAAAAGTTGAAGGCAAAGATGCTAACCCTCCCGCCAGAATCGAAGCATGGCGACTCATTGTACAAGCACAAGTGTAAATACTGTGGAAAGAGCTTTGGCAATGACAGCGCTCTTCAAATTCACCTGCGTTCCCACACTGGAGAGAGGCCATTCAAGTGCAACATCTGTGGAAACCGCTTCACCACCAAAGGAAACCTCAAAGTTCATTTTCAGAGGCACAGAGACAAATATCCCAACATCAGCATGAATCCTCACCCTGTGCCAGAGCATCTCGACAATATTCCTACCAGCAGTGGCATTCCCTTTGGGATGTCCGTGCCTTTTGATGAGTCGAATATGACTGACATCAAGCCCAGCCTTGGTCATCAAGCTGCTGGGTTCAACCCCCCATCGATACCAGGATTCAAAGCACATTTCGAAGGCTTTGGGAGTGACCCGTTTTCTCAGAGACCCTCCCCATCAACAAGTGACGGCTCCCCATCAGTTTCCTCTGTATTTGCTCAGGATTTGGGACTGGATCCAAATCCAAAGGATCCTAAAGAACTGCTTGGCCCACTTCATCACATAAACGGCAGCGCCCTGCCTGGAGAACCGAGCTCTGGAACAGCCAAGCTTCAGCAGATGGTGGATGGCCTGGAGAAGAGGACCAACGATCCCAACGAGTGTGTCATCTGCCACAGAGTGCTCAGCTGCCAGAGCTCCCTCAAAATGCATTACCGCACGCACACTGGAGAGAGGCCGTACAAGTGCAAGATATGTGGCCGCGCTTTCTCCACAAAGGGTAACCTTAAGGCTCACTACGGAGTGCACCGGGCCAACACTCCMCTTAAAATGCAACATTCATGTCCCATCTGCCAGAAGAAGTTTACAAACGCTGTTGTTCTGCAGCAGCACATTCGCATGCATATGGGAGGGCAGATTCCAAACACCCCAATGCCAGAAAACCAGTTTGAGGCAGCAGAAACAATGGAGCCTTCTCTACCAGCAGAGAAGCCCGTGGAAAACAATCGATTTGAAGCATGCATGGGGGAAAGTGTGCCAGAGCTGAACTCTCAAAAGCCGAACGACTCTACAGGTTCCCTCCCATCTACTTCAGAGGAACAGCCACTGAAGCATCCAGCCCCTGCTCCGTTTTCCAGCCTGGAAGTTCTGAAGAACCTCACCTCTGCTCTGGCCCTAAAGCGACAGAGTAGCACTGCCTCAGAGAGCGAGGGAACATCCAAAGAGTCTCCTCTGGCTCTGCCCCAGAGAGAGCAGGAGTACCAGAACGGCCGCAGTCCAACGGTTTCTGACTCGGCCGTGTCCTTTCACTCCTCTTCCCCCGTCAACGTCAGCATCAAGTCCCCCGAGTCGGCGGTTGATGAATTTACCCGTGGTCTGTCAAAACAAGAGCCTGATGTTACCCAAGAAGGCAGCGAGTCAAGTGGAGCTCTTGACCTCACAGCTTCTAGCAGCTTTACAGCCAAAGTGATTAAAGAAGAGCCCAGCGTRCCGTTTACAAACGGAGACTACGGTAATGTTTGCTAGACTCGTGGTAGAAGTTCTTACAATAAAAGTAAAGATCTAACGTCCTTTCTTCCTACAGCAGGTCCCAGCACTACACCGTTCATGAAAGTCCCCCCAAGTCTGGAGATGAAGATYACTACTGAGAGCTCTCTGGGCCCTCATGGGTTGTTCAGTTCTCAGGTACCTCAGGGAACCTCCGTACCYTCCTCCATCTCAGCCGCGCCGCGCCGATCCACCAAGCAGCACATGTGTAACGCCTGTGGCAAGAACTTCTCCTCTGCCAGCGCCTTGCAGATCCACGAGCGCACGCACACAGGCGAGAAACCTTTCGCCTGCAACATCTGTGGCAGGGCTTTCACCACCAAGGGAAATTTAAAGGTGAGTCTTTGTTTCCTATTTGTGTCGTTATATTTAGGGGAGACCGGGGACAGTTGCAACACTYGTTACATTTGACTCTGTTCCTCAGAGATGGTTTGAATTAAACAAACCAGATTTTAACACAATAAACTTACATCTGTCTGTTAATAGTTAAAACCATTTATAGATGATTAAACATGTACATTCTTCACTATTTGTATTWGAAAATGAAAAGTCAGATGTTACAACTGACCCCGGGGCCGGGGGCAGTTGTAACATTGTTTGGGGGTGGTTACAACATATTATTAATRCAATATATTTCACTGTAAATAAMAGTTTTATTATTTTTATATTTATATTATTGCTAAATGAATAAAACCTGTAAGTTCTAATGATATTACAGTGTTATTTATTTATTGTTTCTGATCAAATGATGAATATAGATGAGCCTTGATGAGTAGACCTTATATACAGATGTCAAAGACTCTAATTGATATAAAATACAGTTGACTTTTAGACACAAGGATAACAGAACAATTTGTGTTTTGTCTATTGTCACTGTACGCCTACATTATGTAACATTTACATTAAACAAACTGGGATTTTAAAACCATTGTTGAAAACAACAACTGTAGAAAATACATCTTAAACACTTTGATGTTTTAAACTATAAAACTGTCATGAACACCCAACAGCCTTTTAGGTGTAAACTTAATTTCAACATGTTAATCTCATCTGTATGTGCTCTGTTTTTATATGGATTTATCGTATGGGGACAGTTACAACAACTGTTMCAACTGTCCCCCTTCCTGTCAGCCATGATAAAACCTCATGTGTTAGCTAAATAAGCTCATCTGGATACATGTTAACTAGATTAGTTAAAAGTCAACAGATCACTTGTTGAAACCATAGAAGTTTGAGCTGGATCACAAAAACAGTGACAACAGTTTAACAAAAATAAAACTGGGTAAAAAAATACTTTGTTCCTCAAAAACTGTTTTTTTAAATAAATCCTGGATCAGTTTTTGAATCTGTTGACTTTTTCTTTCCAAGGTGGGACATCTAACTGAGCATGTACAGTGTGATGTCATCACTCTGTTTCTGTTTGGAGAAAAATGATGTGTTGCAACCGTCCCCGGTCKCCTACTTTAACCGCTCAGCGTTTCATCTGGACTCTAACGTTTCTTTTCTCCTGCACTCCTTAAAGGTCCACATAGGCACTCACATGTGGAACAACTCGTCCCGCCGCGGCCAGCGTCTGTCTCTGGATAACCCCATGGCTCTGATGGCCCTGAGCTCGGAGGCCAAGATGCTGCCCGAAGTAATGCCTGCGCCAAAAGAGCTCAGCGCGCCGCCCATAAACTTCGACCCGTCGCTGTGGAACCAGTACGCTGCTGCTTTCAGCGGCGGCCTGACCATGAAGACCAATGAAATTTCTGTCATTCAGGGAGGTGGCGTCCCGCTGCCTGGCAGCCCTGCTGGTGGGCCGCTTATTGGGTCCACCGGAGGTCTGGTGAAGATGGACGGTTCCCAGTCTGGCTTGCCTGCCACCATGGTGGAGATCGAGAAAAGTAGCTCTGATAGCGTGCCAAAGCCACAGTTCCCACATTTCATGGAGGAGGGTAAAATAGCAGTAAATTAAGGTTTTGTTTTTTTAATTTTGGGTAATTCTCCCTCCTTAATTAGTGAATGTCACTGTTTGAATGAGGTACAATCAATGTTGAGAAAGAACTGCAGAATCCACCTAGATTTGTTGTTTTTCCTCCATTAAAGCTCCTGATCTTAATGATTCAAGTGTTAAGTTTAGTTGAACTTTACTGAGTATGTGAGGGGACACGGGACGTTATTTTTCTTTTACGTTCCCTCGCAAAAGTCGTTTATCACTGTTGTGCTGCAGGTTTATTAACAAACTCACATGTTCACCATTAGTGAGTTAGTCTACTGCTTTACTTCAGCTTCTCAATGAATAAATCACACAGACACACATGGAAGTGTGTCATGTTGATATTTTAACACAGTGCAGCCACACAACATCAATGTCAATTTCACAAACTGTGGCGACACATCCTGTTTTGGTAACTGGATATTTCAAAATAAAAGTCTGATTTCATTCAGTTCGTATACAAAACAAACTTGTGTGGGAACCCAAAGGTATTGCGAGGTAACACAAAAGGAAAACAAACCCCCCATGTCCCCTGGCAGGCTCTGTAGAACTTGATTATAACTACTGTAGTTGTATTTTTATTTTATACAAACATTTATGCGGGTATTTTCTCCTGTGACCTTTGTTTTGCTGTCTATCAGAAGTTTGAATGTACAACTTACTTGAAAGTGCTTTATTTCACGTGTGTCTTCTGACTTGGAAGGATTGTGAGTTCAGGTTTCAGGTTGTGGGTTTTCACAGACTCGTCTGGACTCGGCCTCAGTGTTGTGAAATAATGTCTGTCCTCTCCTTCCTGCTGTGTGCCGTAGGTTTTATCATGGACATTTTGTTGTAGTAAACGTCAGGAGCTTTTCATCAGATTCTACTCTTTTGACTTGTCGTATTTAATCAAACTCCTACAATCCAGTCCGTTTTATTGGATTATGTGGATTATGAAACTTTTTATTGTGTTAGTGCCAGGATCCAGTTCACACATGCCTGTTACAAAGTGCCTGATATGAAATGAACCGTGTGTTTTGTGGCACTGTTGGGTTGTTACAGACTGAAAACTTGGTGTGTTGTCCTGTGACGTGTGGCGTACATTTCAAACAGTTTACTGACGTCAGGTTGTTTTTAGTTTTCCTCTCACTAACTCCACATGTACACTTACCTGAGCTCAGAGGGCTGATGTTCTCATGCCTGCACTTTATGTCTGGTTGTAGTTGATTGACATTTCACTGCTTTTATTGTGAAACCTAAACGAGGACAAAGGAACGTTGTTTTTGTCAACTGCTCGATTATTCAGGCTGTTTTTGTAAAATGTATTTCCTGGTAATCTCATCGGCTTGTAGCATAAATTTATTTATAAAACTCAAACTGCTTGAGTCTAGGGGTGAGTTCTACCTCATGTTGCCCCCCAGCACCCCTCGTTCTCAGCGCTACGTTCTGTATATTTTCTGACGTTGATGTTTTATTTAGAGTATGCTGTAGAAGTGTTCATTCTCTACCTGCTGAGTTGGAAAGTAATGAATGTATCACTGGACACTTTGCACAACTCAGACTGGTGCGAGTACATCGGAAGCTCCTGCTGTTCATTCCTGATCAATATGCATTTACCAAGTTGTGCCTTTCTGTAGTAAAACCATGTCAGAACTACTTTCACGTTGTTCCACAGTTCCAGTAACGTGGAGCCAGTTTGATACGTTTACAGTGTAATTTTTGTTTTTGGTTCAGAAGTTTCCTTCAGTTAAATGTTTTCTGATTTTTGAAAAATAAAATCAGGGTGACTTTTTGACATTTTGTCTGTCATTACTCCACAACATTATTTATTTTAATGGTGTGTAGGCACTAAAATGTACTCTTAATTCTGTTTGAGTCCCTCCATGAGACTGGTTTGAATTGAACTTAAAGATTTTCAATTTTTTTTTACCAAAATATAAAATTTTTATGTACATCCCTCATTAAACCTCAGAAAAACACGTTTCCCATCTCAGGCATCACTTTTACCATTATCAAGGTGTGCTCACACTTCAACACCTGTGGACACTACTGAATGATTTTAAGTGTATATCTAAAGATAAATTTATTTATTTATACTTTATTTATACAGGAAGATCTCTTGAGACTCATTGTCTCGTTTACAACAGAGACCTGTTACATCCACCACAACAAAGTATAAAAACAATAATAAAATTTACTTGACACTTCTAAAAATGAACACATCATCAAAGAAAAGGACAACAGGGACAGKTCTTACAGACAAATTTACAAATCTGTTTATTACAATCTTAAACTCCCCAAGTGTGACCAAACTGGAGAGCTTCAGGTCCTGAAGCTGGTTCCAGGTGTCGGGGCCAGGAGCTCAGTGCTCACTGGAGGACCACTGAACCTAATAAAGTCCTGAGAACGAAGGCTGGTGGTTTTTACATGAAATATAATGTTAAGTATGATGGAACCAGTTGAAGGATGGATTTATAAATGAAAGTGTACCAGTATAAGAGTCTGAGGATGTAGACAGGGCCAGTTAACTAAAGGATATAAGGTATAACGGTGAGTGAGGGCTTTACTACCTGTCATAAATCTAAGTGCTCCATGATAGACAGCATCCAGCAGACATAATGAGCTGCCAGAGGCTTTCATATATCTCCATAGTCTAAAATACTCATAAAAGTGACAGAAACAAGATCTGTTCAAGCATTTTTTTGAGAAACAACTCTTGTTTCGAAAAAAGAAGACTAGTTTTAACTTGAGTTTTTTTAAATCAATGTGGCTTAAAGGTTAAGTTTTCATCCAAGGTGATGCCAAGATATTTATAAGATGTTACAACGTCTTTGGGCACACCCTGTGTGGAGTGATAGAAGGGAGAACTGCAGGCACCTTCTTCTTGTTAGAAAACAACATGATCTTAGTCTTACCTGCAGCCAATAACAGTCTAAGTTGTAATAGTTGAGACTGAAAACTGTCGAAAGAGGACTGCAAGTGCTCAAACACGAGGGAAACTGAATTTGAGTGACAATAAATTACTGAATCATCAGCATAAAAATGCACAGCTGTAAGCCCRTGGCCCAAATCGTTAATGTAGATGGTAAACAGTATAGGTCCTAAAATGGACCCTTGTGGAACCCCTGTAGAAATGTCCATAAAACCTGAGGTTTGGCAGCCATATTGAACACACAGTTTACAACCAGTCAGATCATTTAGAAACCAATGGTCTGTTCAGTAAACCCTACGTCCAAAAACCTTTGACACTAAATCTACAGATGAATCAGATGTCCCCGCGCTAATTCAAWCATTTTAAATGCAAAAATGGTGAAAATCTCACATTTTTGCTGTTTCAAAGCCTAGAACGCATCGATCCATGAAAGCTTTCTGACCATCAAACATTTTGTTCAAAGGAAAAGTTGTGACCTGTTGATGGCTCTAAACATTTTAGACAAAAGTCACCTGACACTACAGTACATAAGTCTGAAGTCTTACATGATATTTTACATGTGATGGGGTTGAGAGGATTGTTGGCTTGAARGGCCAAATATGGTTTTGCATAAGAAGTTATTTAAAGTTGTAATAATAACCATGGTCAACTCGCACATGACATCCCTAATTTACATCAATTCACCTTCAGATGACTGCAGTGAAATCTTTTCTTTCTCTTCTCATTTCCCACCAGGACCCATTAATCCAGTGGTATTTTGCATTCTCAACGAAAACCTATTTGCATCTACAACTGAAGCATGCGATTCATTTAAGGTCAGTTGTCCATTAGCTACTTCCTCGACATCGTTTTAAGTGAAGCAGTCTTTTGCATAATTGTGCTTATAGGAACCGATGTCTTATAGGCAAACATCAGCAGACAAAATACAGACAAAACACCCGTCAGGTTCTGCTGGGAATGGTAGGGTTTTGTTTTTCTGATGATGAAGTACTTCATTTCTGTTCTGGACAATGAACAAAGTCAATCATTAACAAAAACTRCAGAGCAGTAAAGGAAACCAGTCATCACATGAAGAATGATCAGGTTTCATGCATGGTCGGAGCACTGTGTAAGACAGAATCATGGAAACAAAAACTGATTTTCATAAGAGTTACCAGCCTGAATCATCATAACAAAGATTGGTGTTCCGATGCCGATGTCAGAGACTGAGGGCCAAAGTTGTGGCATGCAAAGTGAATTCTTGTTGGATTACACATTAAACAAATTGTGCATTTTGCAACAGTGGTGTACAGTCACCCATCTCTGGTTTTTATTTGTTTTAATAAATGTTTGCACCTGGTTTCAGTGAAACTAATATTAAAGCCACATTCAGGACCATGTGACTGCTCATCATCAGGTTCTTTAACGCCTGCAGGTTTATGGGACTTAATGGTATTTACTGTTGGAGTATTTATTAAATGTATCAGTAATCAACATGTGTATTTGCTGTCTTTAACTTCCAAATGGATAAATAAGAGATGTAGACTGACGTCAACAGTTATTCCTTTAAACCTCTGCTGTTTGCTCTACTGGACCGCAGAGATTCAGCCTTCAAATGTGACCCGTCAAAACCAGGATTAAGTCTAAAACTGGTTTATGGAGAAATATAGTGTTTTGATTAAAACACTTACAAAAATTGTATTTTGTCAAAATAGAAAAAATAAAAGCCTTATCAATGTTTCATTTGAATGAACTGTATGAAATATAATCATAAAAAAACAGCATTTTTTTGAGCAGTAGCAACAAAAAAAACTGATTTTGATGAAAAACACCTTAAAATGTTGAGATTTTCCCTGTGAGTTAGTAAAGTTTGTTTCTTTTTATCTGGTAAATCTCAATATTCAAATATAATCTGAGGTTTCCTCTTTATAAGGACATCAAAAATTCCTCATTAAAATGASATAAAATTAGGATTCAGACCAAATATTTATGTATTATTGTAACCAACAAGACAAATTAAGTCATATATATGGATTTAATTATGATATCAGGATGATCCAGGTATCAAAATGTAGCTTTTAAAGWCAAGAATCTGAAAATGTAATTAGGTCATTTTGACCTAATTTGTCTTAATCCTCATTTCCATGTGATGGGTCACATATGTCCAAGAAATGGTTCAGTTATACAGTTTTACACAAACACACGTGTGTGTAAGTTAAAAGTCTAGCATTGTTTG